CAAAGGAGTAGGGCGCTGGCCCCATATACCAGCGTATACCAGAGGTGGTGGGTTCAAACCCGGCCCCGGCCAAAAACAGCAAAAAAAAAAATGTTATTACCTCAATAAGATAATTTTTCTAAAAAAGGATAAATAACTTAATACCATAAAATAAGAAGGCTGCTATGATGATGGGAAGCTATATTCTAGTTCAAACTGTCATATTATTAGCTGTAACTTAAACAAGTCACTTAACTTCTCTGGGCCCCAGTTTGCTCTTCTGAGCTGAAATGAGGGGCTAGAACTAAATAAACCTAAGGGCCCTTTCAGCATTATATTACATCATACTTGCTTGAACTGGAAGTACTTTTTTTTTTTTTTGAGACAGTCTCACTATGTCACCCTGGGTAGTAGAGTACCGTGACGTCACAGCTCACAGCAACCTCAAACTCTTAGGCTTAAGCAATTCTCTTGTCTCAGCCTCCCATGTAGCTAAGACTACAGGTGCCCGCCACAACACCCAGCTATTGTCATTGTTGTTTGGCAGGCCCGGACTGGATTCAAACCCACCAGCTCTGGTGTATGTGGCTGGCACTCTAGCCTCTGAGCTCCAGGCACCAAGCCTGAACTGGAAGTACTTCCAATATTTGAAAATGAAACTCGACTACCAGCTTTCATGCACCTTGAAAACACAAGAGTTTTTGAGGAGGCAGCCTGTGTGGTCAGAAGAAATCTGGGGAACACGGTCCTGCTAGCTGGTGTCCCCTTCTTTCCTAAGGAGAGAGCTGAAGTTTCAGGTGCCCATGGAATATCCCACTAAGGCAGCGGTTCTCAACCTGTGAGTTGTGACCCATAGGAACTGTATAAAAGGGCCACCGCATTAGGAAAGTTGATAACCACTGTACTAAGGGGAATTAGCCAAAAACTACAAATACTCCCAGATTGCCATCCAGCCCCATGGTGTGGCCTCGGCTGCAGCAGTCTCATGGAGACAGGCAGGGAGTGTTGAGCTTGTTACTGGCGGGCAAAGGAGCACTTGATAATAAAGTTCACTCCTGGACAGCAATTTATTAGCTTTCTAAGCAGTGTGCACCTGTCACTTTACTCCATCCACACCACAGTCCTATGGTAGAGGTGGGGCAGAGGCGAGCCTTTCAGTCTTCTCTTCCAGCAGAGGAATGCGTAGATGAGACAGGCAAAGTGTTCCACACAAAGCTGAGGTTTGTAAGTGGGTAGTGGGGCCTGGGGCCCATGTCTCCTGACAGCTGGCCTAGCCATGGGCTCTGTACAGCAGTAATTCCCAGCCAGCAGAACACTTATGAGGCACCAAGGGGTGGGGGTTCAGATGCCCAGGCCCCTCCCAGGAGCTTTAGGGCCTGAATCTTCAGGGGCGGGGCCAGGCCAGCAGCAGCTGCGAAAGATGCTCTTTCTGGTTCAGCATTCAAAGGTGTATAAGCCCAGAGGTGAGCATGAGGAAAAATGAGAATTTTTTTTTTTTTTTT